TATTTGACTCTCTTTCATAATATTTAAGAGTAATAATCCCTTCAAAAATAAAAATAAAATAATAATGATAATTTAGTCACTCAATCAATGACTTTTTGTGGGACATTGCTGCGTGTAATTGGCTGCCAGTTTCATCCACAAAATACAGTCAATTCACTTTACAGTATGCTCTGTGAAGCACTTTGAGACGTCTTGAGAATTTGATAAGGCGCGATATCAAATGCAAGGATTATTATTATTTTATATATTTTATTTGTATGTTGCTGCGGTCAGAAGATTCTTGATGGGATTCAATACCTTAAATCCTGCCCTGACTGAGCTTAGCTAACTCAGCCTAGATGACAAGTCAAAGTTGCCACCTTCTAGCCTTATGACAATGCTTGCTGGTTGATAACTTTACCCATTGAGCCATAAGGGCTATCTCACCTGAGTTTGTAAAGAATTCAGGAATGTACTAGTATTTGAGTTAAAAGTTTTAAACATCCACAATAATGATATAATAATTAAAATATAATTGTAATTAAAATATGTTTCCTAAAACAGCCACTACACTTTACAATAAAGCGCTTTGAGATGTCTCAACAATGTGATAAGGAGCTATATCAAATTCAAGAATTATTATTTTATTATTATTATCATAAATACCCTGTCAAATGCTTTGAGATGTTTCAACAACTTGATGAAGCACTAAAAAAAAGTAAGGATTGTTTGATTACTATTATAGAAGAACCTTTATTTGACTCTCTTTCAATAAAGATATTTAGCAATAAAAGGCAATTTTAAACTAAATAATACATTTTGTTGGATCAATTTCTAAATATATTTATTGATGAAAAACAAAACATTATCTGGCCACTTGTCTCATTGAACAAATAAAGATCTCATCCCCTTAAAGATCCCATGACACTATTTAAAAGAGAAAGGAGTTTCTCCCAGTCTCCTGGCCAATAATTCCCCAAAATAAAATGTTCATTTGCTTCATGGCTGTGTGTGGGATATTGTTGTATGCAAATTGGCTGCTGCATTTTGCCTACAAATACATCAGCACTACTTCACAGCAAAATACTGTAAAAACACTTTCACATGCCTCGACATTGTGATGAGGCACTGTATCAAATGCAAGGATTATTATTATTAAAAATAAAGGAAAACATATTTTGAAGAATCACTTACATGAGTTAATGTATTTGTGGATTTACTTAGTGTTTAACTTATCTGACCAATTAAAATGAATATTTACAGAAATGTGTTTGTGTTTTTGTGGAAAAAGATGTGCATAAGTTAATTTCAGAATCATTTTCATTCTGTTGTTAAAAATAGCCTTTAGCCATGAAATCAGGCATTAAATTGGCTCAACTAGCAAATACAGGGAAATCATAAGAATCCTTGGGGAATCTTAGTCATTTTACCCTCCCACCAGGGATTTTCTACATGGATTTTCCACTATAAATTATTGGTTCTTTAAACGTACTTATTTCATCATTTATTTATTCTTGCTTTGTTAGTTTTTAATTAGTTTGGATATTCGGTATCAGCATAGAGAAAATGTTTGTTCACATAAATAATCAAAACCAAGTAGCATCTTTTGCACTATGGAAGTCTTTCTCGTAGATCTTGTGTTGTACATTGGAAAATTAAACAAGCAATGGCATCATGAGGGATACTTGAATCACGTGCAAACACACAGTCTATGTATATGAGTTATTGCTCCATTGCAATGGCTCTTTGTTAATAAGTGGGTATCTTTTATTTGCATGTTGCTGTGATCAGAAGATTCTTGATGGGATTTAATAGCCTAAATACTGCCCTGACTGAGCTTAGCTAACTCAGCCGAGACGACAAGTCCTGTGGAGTCCTGTAGCTCAGTGGTTAGAGCACTCGCTTTGCAAGTGAGAGACCTGAGTTCAATTCCCTGCAGGGCGAAACCTTGGGCAAGTTTCCTTACTCCACACGCCTAATAATACTCCCTCCAAAAACCAAAACAATAATAAATTGGTCATTTTCAATCTACGACTGTTTGTGGGACATTGCTGTGCGCAATTGGCTGCCGCATTCGCCCACAAATATAGTCAATTCACTTTACAGTATATTCTGTGAAGCGCTTTGAGATGTCTAGAAGACGTGAAAAGTGCTATATCAAATGCAAGGATTATTATTATTAAGTCAAAGTTGCCACCTTCTAACCTTATGACAATGCTTGCTGCTTGGTGACTTTATCCATTGAGCCTCAGGGCTATCTCACCTGAGTTTGTAAAGAATTCAGGAATCTGCTTGTATTTGAGTCAAAAGTTTTTAATATCCATAAGTATGATATGATTTGTAATGAAAATATATTTCCTAAAAATATACAAGCTGCTCAATAAACTGTAATCTATGATTATTAATGCTGGGATGTGAAAATATTTCACTGATCAAATATTTTTCCTAGTAATTTTAGCAGATCAGTGATTCAAACTAAAATAAAAGTAATGGGGTTCCCAGTTTAAACAATTAACAAAATGTTTGCTATATTTAGTGGTCAGCGCTTTATAGAATTCAGTACTTTCTGAATTATACATTCACAGCTGCTTGTTTATCTGCAAGACAACTCCATTTCTATATCTGTTCTGTTATTCTTCTGTTACCCTATAATGAAAGTGGCTGAACACCTGTAGAACTTGTAGTATAGGTTTAGAAAAGGCCGGCTAAAACTGACCCCACTCAAGAAGAAGAAAGAAAAGGACTTAACACTTGCTGTTTCCTGGGCTAGAAGAGATATTGTCTGTTGGTTATACTTGGAATGTATAAGATGTATTTCATTCAGACTGTGCCTCAGAGCTGAATTATAGCTACACTTGGGTTCAGTACACATGAAAGGCTAATGAAAAGTTAGCCTTTAATGAAAAATTAGTCTGATATTGATGGTGAGCTAAGAAGTAAGAACAAGCATTGTCATAAGGTTAGAAGGTGGCAACTGGTTGTGCAAAATGGCGCGTTTAATTTATTATTAAGGTGGGTAGACATCTATAACATTATGGTAAGGGTAGCAGTAACTACTCTTAGTACTACAGTCACATCAATGAGTACTGTATGATTGTACTGTATGAGTGCTGTAGTGTATCACCACTTTGTCAGGAGATGTTCCGACAAGTAATCATGTTGTTAAAAGCTTCAGAATAATTGAAACCAACACAAAATCAGACAGTTACCTGACAGCCTAAACATTGTGCGTAGTGTTATTAGTACAACAGCAAATATAGAACAATGCTTAACAATGAGAAGTAAAGGTTTCTTACCTGAATCCTCACAATAATCTAACATATAGAGGTGATCTAGTTGAGAAAGGAGGAACTATAAATACAATTCAAGGATTAATGGAAATTACAAAGCCATCACTCGACCATCACTCAGATCGTATCATTTGAAAGTGCTCACAGTAAACTCTTGAAGGTTCCACGTGAGAATGTAATGGAATGTAATAGCATTCTTTCTGAAGTAAGACTATGATTTTCCCCGACAGTGAACACTGCACAGATATTGTACCGGTGTCCAGAGCCAATTATTTTTGTTGGCTTGGGTACTAACCACTCCTAGAGTTGAAACTCCACACACAAGTTGAAATCTGTATTACCAAAGTGACATTGCACTTCAGCTGCTCTTACTGACCATGTCTTCCCCTACTTATTGAGCATCAGATGGGTCACTGTGTCATAATTGATCATGATGGAACATGATTGAGCACAATGTTGTATTCTGAGCCACGTTAAGCATGTGTTCCTTAGCTGATCATAAAACACCTTAAAATAGGCATTGAGAGATTTGCTGTCCAGGCTATCTCATCTTCCGGTCTGAAAGGAGAAGCACATGATTATAAGTGAGGCTGAATGAAGACCACTTTGATCCATTTGATCTTATCTTTCCAGAAAATCTACCTTGCTGTTTCTCATTCCAACATCAAGCTATTCAGTAGTTTGGATGAGTTCAGTGTCCTGGCCTCTACCACTCTTTGTAATCACCCATTTCAACTGTAAAGCAGATACTTCTTTATGTTTCCAAAATTGCCCTTCAGAACGCTGAACATGTGTTCTCTTGTTCTGCTGGCTTTCACCTTGATTTAAATTACGTATCCCATTTAGCATTGTGTATTCCTCATTATTACTCACTCTGAGACACAACTTTTCATGGCTGAGAAAGCTCAGCTTATCCAGCTGTTCTTCAAAACTCACTGCTTCAACATTGGGAATCGTCTTTATTGTTTCCTCTGCAATGCCTCTCGGACCTGGATAACATTCTACCATCACAGCAATCGGAACTGTACAAAACAACAGAGCTCAATATAGCTTAAGCATAACGTTGAGGGATTTTAACTCATCTGATTTGGCAAAATTGCCTAGCATCCCATTTGCCTTGTTTATTGTAGCCTCATACTGTTTTGTCATAATGAACGATGAGTCAACTAGGACTCCTAGGTGTCATTCACCTTTCTCCGTGTCAAATTGTACCTCTCCATGAAGTACCTGTGCCTATTATTTCTTCTTCAATATGCAGTACTTTCCATTTGTCGGTCTTGAACTTCATTTGTCAGCGTACCCTGTCAAGTTCAGGTTAAACTAGCAAAAAAGTGCACGTTTCTGAGACAAAGGTTAATTCATTCAATGGTGCTTTAGGCATTTGGGTTTGATTTTAACTGTAGGTTTGGTTAAAGATCTCTACTACATAGTTTAGCAAATTATGAAGAAATTCAGAAAAGTGACATTATTAAAAATTACAAGTGTTAGGTAATTATGAATCAGTATTCGTTCAGTTTATATTTTAGTAGTTACAGTCATCGAGACATTCATTTTTTGCTGATACTGCTTAGTTTGATTTTTTTATACATAACTCAAGAGACAATTAAATGAAAGGTGAATTTACTGATTTTGATGGCAAATGGACAAGTGCATTTTTTCTCTGCTAGTTGGTAAGTTTACTGATGATTGGTTGTCACTCTTGATATGATGCATTTAATTTGTCTTATTCAGGTTGCTTCCAGCTCTGTAATGTGTTCCGAACACATGACATGGAAATCGACCAGTGTTTACTGGAGTCCCTCCCTTTAGGACAGCGGCAACGACTGGTGAAACGGATGCGTTGTGACCAAATCAAGGCTTACTATGAGCGTGAAAAGGTTCTCCAAAAACAGGAAGGGTACAAACATAAACACAAACATGGCAAGAAAAATAGGATCCATTTCAACTCCTCAGACATGATCCAGGATGCAATTATTCGACATGATGATAAAGAAGGTAAGGAAACCTGAAGTGTGATGTTGGAATTACGTACCGAAAAACAGAGTGTGGTCCATCTCCAGGTGCTATTCAGGAATTGTTAGACAACATTATGTTTGGAATTAGTTTTACGATATCTACTTGTAGAGGTTTCAACTAGTTCTGAGACAACTAATTTGTTCTACAATATGTTCTCTCGGTCCATTTAATTGCAATTGGTTTCAACGTTTGGGTGAAAAATGTAATGCTTCATAATAGATTTGATGTATTCTGGAATATGGTGTTATCAAATGCAATTTTCAATCAATCACAAAAGGCCATGGGTGCCCAACCCTCCTGATTGACTTTGGCACAAAGGTTGGGCATGTGTCTGTTTGGTACTGAGTCAGTGTCCTGAAATATGGTCCCTGATTCTTCTTTGAGGATTCTAAATAAAACAAAAATCAGATCAGAAAGTATTGTTGTGGAAGGATTGTATACATATTTTTATTTTATTGCCTAAACTGTTAGAAATGTTAATTGTGCATTTAAAATAAGATGAGAATTATCTTAAAATAAATAGTGCATCCTGAAGCTTAGTATCTCATGCTTCTACTCTCTTTAAGAAAATATCCATCCTTTGGATGAGACGTTAAACCAAGTTTGTCTGTTCAAGTTGACTTTAAACATCCAAAGGACTATTTGAAAAGAGAAGGCAATTTCTCCCAATTTCTTCCTGGCCAACAATCCCCCAAGTAATAAAAACAGAAGTCACGAACACGCAGCAGGTCAGGCAGCATCTATGGAGAGAGGAAAGTCAGTTAAATAAGTTCAGGTCGATGACTTTTGTCAGAACTCTGACATCAGATGCTGCCTGTCCTCCTGCATGTTCCCAGTGACTCCTGCTTTTATTTCAGATTTCCAGTATCTGCAGTATTTTGCCTTTCGTTTATTGTTTAACCCCCAAGTAACATTGGTTATTCATTTCATGGCTGTTTATGGCACACTGTGTTGCATAAATTAACTGCCAAGTTTGCCCACAAAACAGAATCACGGCACTTTACATTACATCTGTAAAGTGCTTTGGAATGTCTTCCCCACATGAAAGGCACTATACCAAATGTAAGAGTTATTATCATTGGATATTATCTCTACTGGGCCTTTGTTTAATTGTATAGTAAGGAACTATACTTTTGCTAGCTATAAAGTAAACATTAGCATGCTGGATTTTTAAATTAAGCTGTTTGCAGCTATGACTATGAAAAAAGCTTTTCAGAAGTCATTAGAATTTTACAACACAGAAGGCTGCTTCAGCCCATTGTGCTTGTACTTGCTCTGTAAAAGAGCTATGTATTTAGTCCTATTCTCTAGCCTTTTCCCTATGGTCTTTCATAATTCTCCTTTTAAGATATTTTTCTAATTTCCAATTAAAAGCTAATCAGGATTGTGCAGATACAGATACGGGTTTGGCACTTCTTAGATGAAAGGCCGCAAATACAATAGTGATGATCCTCTGCATTTTTTCTGGAGAATTGAAACTAATTTAGAAAGCCATTTTGAAGTATTTGTTCATTGTCACACTAATAGGGCTTATTGCTAAGACATCATGTATTGGGAAAACAGTTCATTACTTTATTAGGTACTTTTTTGATGGCAATTATGATTTTATTATCGGAATATAAATGTACTTTATAATGGCTTTCTGTAACAGAAAATAGCATAGTTATTCTGTTCTATTATAGATGTCTTGTTCACTGTCTTCTAATGACTACTGATATCCATTGTTTGTGTGAACTTTGTTTCTTAATTCATTAGCTCCCATTAAACTGCAATGTGTATATATATGTCAGTAGCACTTTAAAAGTTAAATACATAATTTGAATTAAAAAGACATTCTAGTAAATGTGCAGGTTAGTCCTTAGCCAATTGCTAAAAGTCAAGGAGAATATGAATTACTAGATACAATGGAGTCTAAAATGCGAGACTCAGATGATGATTTATAACTATTGAATCTGGAATCCTGCTCGGATGTTGTTGTCCTGTCAGGTGCCAAGGCCACATTCCCAGATTGGTGTTAAAGCAGAATGCCATGAGACATTCATTTAGGGGCAGCATATATAGTTACTGTATTTTTATGTTAGCCTAGTTCAGTTGATCACACTCTCAGAACTTGTGGGTTCCACACATCAGGACTTGGAACTCATATACTCTATGCCAATTGTGACCAATCTTTTTGGTCAACCAACAAATTACATTGTCTTGATTGAATAGTTCTTTATTTATGGCATAAATCAACCCGAATACTGACTTATCTAGATAATGCAGTGCTGATGTCAGAACAATTGCTATATTAAATGCAAGAATTATTATTATATTATGAATGGTGGATTCGTGGAGTCCTGTAGCTCAGTGGTTAGAGCATTCGCTTTGCAAGTGAGAGGCCTGAGTTCAATTCCAGGCAGGTCAGGGCGAAACCTTGGGCACGTTTCCTTACTCCACACGCCTAATAATAATCCCTCCAAAAAAAAAAACAACAATAAATTGGTCATTTTCAATCCATATGATTGTTTGTGGGATATTGCTGTGCGCAATTGGCTGCCGCATTCGCCCACAAATATACAGTCAATTCAACAACAACAACAACAACAAGATTCCATTTATAAAGTGCCTTTCACGTCAGGAGGACGTCCCAAGGCGCTGCACAGTTGGGTCATGACCCGAGCAGGGGGGAAATGGTCAGGGTGAGGGGAGGGAAGGGAGGGAGCGAGGAGGGGGAAATGGTCAGGGTAAGGGGAGGGAAGGGAGGGAGCGAGGAGGGGGAAGAGAGTCGAGAGGGGAGCTGAAGGCTCGGTCAAAGAGAAAGGTTTTGAGACCGGCCTTGAAGGAGGAAAGGGAGGAAGCAAGGCGAAGGCACTGGGGATGGAGTTCCAGAGCCTGGGGCTGAGAGGCTGAAGGCCCGACCACCGATGGTAGGGCGGTTGGGGCGGGGGACGTGGAGCAGACCGGAGCCAGAGGAACGGAGGGTACGGGTAGGTAGGTAGGGGATAGTAGGTTGGAGAGGTAGGAGGGAGCAAGGCCGTGAATGGCCTTGTAGGTGAGGATGAGGATCTTGAATTCGATCCTCTGGGGGATGGGGAGCCAGTGGAGGCGAGCGAGGGTGGGAGTGATGTGGTCCCGAAGCCTGGTGCGGGACAGTACACGAGCTGCAGAGTTCTGAATGACCTGCAGCTTGTGGAGGGAGGTGGCGGGAAGGCCGGCGAGGAGAGAGTTCCCATAGTCCAGCCTTGAGGTGACAAATTCACTTTACAGTGTGTACTGTGAAGCGCTTTGGGACATCTTCCCGACATGAAAAGCGCTATATCAAATGCAAGGATTATTATGATTTATTGTTATTATATGGTGGTTTAAAAAAATACTGTCAGTTCTTGTATATGTGTATGTGCTATATATCCCCCTGCCTCACCATTGGTGAGCAAACTTTCAGCCTTTCTGCTCTCTCTCTCTAGCTCTCTGGAACTCAATCCCTGAGTCCCTCCACTTTGCTCCCTACCTCCCAGCCTTCAACACCCACCTGAAAAGCTACTTTTTTGACCACACTTTCGGCCACTCTCAGCCCCTCCACCCCACGCTCCAGCTTCCATTCAGTTATGTGAAACTCTTCGACATATCCACCAGATGTGAAAAGTTCTATAAAAATGTAAATGTTGTTATTGAATGTCGTTTTTATATTTAAATTCTGGGAGGTTTTGAATCCAAATAAGGCTAGAGTGAAGCAGTTTTATTTGGGCTCCAGATTTCCTGAGAACATGTGTTGCAAATGACATTCTGTGTAAATGCAGACACTGTGAAGTCATTCACAAGTATGTCGAAATTATTATGTGTGAATCAGAACTATTTGAGGTTTATGTCCGACAGTCAAGAAATGGTAGCCGAGGTTTGAAGATACAATACAATTTATATAGTGCTTTTCACATCAGGAGGACATCTCAGAGTACGTTAAGATGCACCTTAAATCAGACAGTGTTGTTCCAAGCTTCTGTGGTGATTCTGCCCAAAATACATAGTCATTGCCCTTTATCTTGTGAAGCACTTTGGGTATTCCTCTTGATGTGAAAGATGCTATGTCAAATGCAAGTATAAATATTATTATTATTTTATGATAAGTGGAGATATCAAAATAACTATCATTTGTTGTGTGTGTGAATGGCTTAACCCCCATTGGATACTTAACATTATGATGTTGCTGCAATCTTCAACTTATCTTGCTTGAGTTGGATCTCTGGTATGTGTAGAAAACTGAATACGTGACTTCGAGATGGATTTTCCCGTCAGAAAAGTTCTTGTACACTATTATTTGTCTCCAGAGACCACTAGTAATATAAAGGCTGTAATACAGTGTCATCATCTCTAGTATAATAAATGGGATGTTTAAAGAACTGGAAACAGACACCTGATCAGAACTTTAACTGACAATGAAGTAATGCATTGTTTGCCAGCACTGATGAAATTTTTTAATGAAATATTTACAATGGATTTCCAAAATATTTGAGGATAATTTAAAAAATTACTAACAAGCCGAAGGGTCAATTTTGATAGGTTGCCTTACAGATTTCTTAATTAAATTGATTTCTTCATTGCGAAATGTGAATCTTCTTCAGTATCTGGAAGTGCGTTGAACAAGTCACTTTGAGCCACTCCCAATACAGATTGAGTTGGAGTCGTGTTCGTACAAGTCAGTATTCATAAGAAATATTATGAAATACCTCAATTTATTGTTATATTTGACATAATATAATTGTCAATTAAATTCATCTTTCATTTGGAACTTTCTCCTTGATCCTATAAGCTTTTACTTTAGGCATAATTTTGATTAACTAGCCTTGCCATCTTATCATGTCTTATCTGTGAATGAAGATATATATTAAGCACTTGACTATTCCAATAAATTTGTTCACTATAACCTGCTTTTCAAAAATGAATGTTGGCTTGGATTTATTGCCTTTGCTCTTGTTTGCTGCACTTAAACTGCTTAATTGACA